TCCTGATATTGCAGACGTTCTACTTTTCCTATGTCCAATTTTCCCGCTGTTTCCGATTACTGATCATGCATGCGTGTATGTTGATTGTGTAATTAGGTATGTCGAGAGTAATCAATTGACGTGCAACAACACTTTGCTCGAGTTCATAGTCTCGGCCCGAGATCAAATTAGTTGTCCCGTAAATTTTAGGATTACGTTACACGGTAGGTGTTAAGGTTTGCTGGATCAAATCAAGAGCTTGTTCGGCAAAATGTGGCTATTGTACAGGTATGCTATCGCTTCTTTTTAGGTCAAACCGAGTTATGGGTATAGGTAGGTCGGGTCTACCTAGCAGCTCTAGGTAGGTCTACCTCTGATCTAAGTGTGGATGACATATAAAGGACATGATGGGCGTTATTCCGCGCCTCTGTGATGTGCCCACCGTAACGCTCTCACCTTTCCGTCTAACTCGTTCGGCTGTTGGCCTCTTGGGTCACGTAAGGAACGGAACAGCAAGCAGCGTTCGGGGGGACGTCGAAAATCTTCTAGTAAATGCTAGATTTTCCCCTATTTGACTTTCGTTGACAATTTCACTCCTCATGCCTACCCCGTGAACTAAAAGAGCGTGACATTTGCCGTTATTTAGAGGGCAAATCGAGTCAAAACACACGCTTCTGTGTGTATAATATTTTCTCGCACTTATTTTTTATACCTTCTTGTAACAGAACATATATAGGGACAGACCGCTCTGAGTTTTTTCCGCTGCGTGACCGACGTCTCTGAATGTGGGAGTGGCTGTCCTTGGCCGGGGGAGTGGCGCTGAGGAACTGAGTGTTCACTGTTCAGTCCTCCCGCGGCCTGCGGTGGCGGCCATTATGGGTCCGCCCACCCCACCCCGCTCGCCCGCCCCTGTCGCAACTGGCTCGGCTGAGCCAATATGGTCCAACGGCGGCTGCAATCGGCTCTGTCTCTCACGGGGCCAATGTCGGGTGGACGGCGGCGACCCGCGGAGCTCCGCGCCGCGCCGCCGACTCACGCCCTCCGGCACCGACACATAGTTACCGAGACTCCGCGCTGCGTAGTTTGGCCACGCTTCGGCGCAGGGCGACCCCCGCCGGGCCGGGGGTTTGGACAGTGGACACTCCTTGCGGTTTTTCGCAGAGCTCTCAATTTTAGTTGGACACACCTGTCCAGTGTTCATGCATCTTTTCAGCACATGTTTTTGGTCGCTGAAGGTCAGGTGAGATGACCAAGTCATGTCAAGTGACCTTACCTACTTCAGAAAAGTTACAATGCTCGCCATAGCTACACCGACTCAACGATCACTTTGAAACATTCAGCGATTGAAAGAGTAACCGTGTACAAAATGTACCCACATCTCAGAATTTCGACATCGGTGACCTAAGGTCAGGCCAATTTTGCGCTCTCTCCATTAACCTTTGCCGGACCAGGGGGTTGATGCAATCCCCCTATTTTTCGCAATTAGCAGACGGCGCCGCCCCGCCCAATTTTGCATACCCTCTGGGGCAGCCTGTTGGCACCTTACCTGAAAATTTCAGGTTTCTGTCATTTCAGGTCAGGTCACCAGGTCACCAAAACCGGTACAATGTCATGATGGTAAAATTGGACTATAATAGCGGCAACCGAATCGCTGAGCTTATCGCTAATAGCGTAAGAAACGTAAGACTTAGGGCCACCAAATTTCAGACACAACTTGGGACGGTCATTTGACACGTCATCTAGGAGTTTTGTGTTCCAGTGACTTCAGGTCAGGTCACAAGATCACAAAAACCGGTACCTACATGGTCAAAATGGCACTGAAAATACGCTTTTTGGCAATGTAATCTAGAGTTGTCCATCGATTTGATTCAAACTGGCAGGATTTTGACGCTTTTCGAAAGTCGCTTACCGCGTGTTGACGTGTCGCTACGTGGCCCAGCAGGAGCCGAGTTAGAGGGGGGGGGGCTCGTCTTAGAACGCCCCCCCCCCCCCAGCCTGGCGCGGTTGGCGCTGAGGGGTCAGGTCATTTTGCACAGTAGCGGCGGAGCACTTTCAATGAAGGGTGGGGGGCACTGCCAACTTATGGTCCCATTCTTTCCATGTAATGCGCATAGGGCTGATGTATGATGCCAAAATCAAGGGACGCCATTTAATTGCGTCCCAGAAAAGCTATTTCTGGCACCTAAAAGCTGACTCGCCCCAAAATTGGTCCTCAGCACCTATTTGGTGGATACCAGCACCAATCATGGAAAATGACCTTAATTAGCTGTTTCTGGCACCTATTCATCGGTACGCCTTACTCTTTTTTCTGAATCTGGCACCTAAATGCTGAGCGTAGCACCAATCTAGCAGGAAAATGAACTACTGGCTGGTAGAATCATGTTGTTCTGGTATAATGACCCCTGGAGTCTAGCCTAAAGGTTGCCAGTGCAGCTACACTCTAAGACAGCCCCGTAGTGATCTCAGCATTGTATATGACGTTTAAGTAAGCAAATAATATTGATTTGTTTGAAAAAAAACAATGTCATTTAAATATTTAAAAGTATTTATTTGTAATGCTTAAAGGGAAACATTTTTGTGAGTAATTGTCTCGATTTTGACCATTAAAACGGGTATTGTATTTATAGTATTGCAGCTAATTAGTGCCTACTGTTGTGTTGCAGCTAATTAGTGCTTACGTCACAAGCTTTCGTTTGTTGTGTTTTCAGAGCTGTCCTTGCACAAAGTTGTTGTTGTTTACCACGTGGCCATGCCGTGAACTACATAAGCCCAGTGTCTAAAGCCTAGACAAATACAGACGTGGATGCAACAATATTGGCGACGAGGCAACTTTAAGTTCAAGCTATAAAATACGTTGAGCCTCTGCTACTCAGTCGAAAAAGCCCCGCGCAGCGATGGCCTCGCCCGCGCTGGAATTGCCGCAATTCGACGTATCTCGCCCTGACGAGTGGCCAGGATGGCTCCGTAGGTTGGAAAATATGTGTCTGGCGATGGATGTGTCAAATCCAGTCAGAAAAAAAGGCATACCTCCTGCATTTTGCTGGTCCAGCAGTCTTTGACTTGCACGAATCCCTGCCTATGCCTCAGGCCGCAGAGCCCACAGATCAGGGGGACCCAGCCGCAGCCCAAGAGCAGAGGCAGCTGGATCCATATCAACTGATATGCAAACAACTCAGTGACTATTTCGTGCCACAGAAAAACGTTGACTACGAATGCGATGTTGTTCGCCAAGCCGTGCAGGGAGAAGGTGAGTCAATAGACAGCTTTGTCTCACGCCTGCGACATTTGGCCAGGAGCTGTGAATTCACGGATCTTGCTCGTGAAATCCGCCAGCAGCTGATTGCGGGAGTCAGAGACCCCAGGGTAAGGGAGAAAGCCCTGCAGCAGAGAATGACCCTGGAAAACTTGCATTCGTTTGCAAGGGGCCTGGAACAGGCAAGAGCACAGGCCCGTGCCATGGAGGCACACCATCAAAGCCGGTTCACCAGTCTGCCTCCTGTAAAAGCCCAGAACATGGTAGAAAGCAAAAGAAACCTCACTGGCAAGCCCCGTGTCCAAGAGACAAAAGAAAGATGTTCAAGATGTCACAGCCCAAAACACCAGCACTGGGAATGTCCATTCAAGAACGAGACCTGCTACCACTGTGGTCGGCAGGGCCACACAAAGGTGGCCTGCCGTAACAAGGAGCCACAGGCTACGCCAAGGAAGAATCCCAGTCATGGTCGGCATGGCAAATTCAAATGCATGAGCCAACAACAGGACTTGAGTCAAACTCAGCAAGACAGCCCAACTGATGAGTACGTCATGCAAATCTGCCTGCCTGTGAACAAGACAGAAGTCAGAGAAAATGAACCACTTGTCACAGCAGTGAACATGGACGACAGAACAGTCCAGATGGAAGTGGACACAGGAGCAGCAGTCACAGTGATGTCAGAACAGCTGTTCCACAAGCTGTGGCCAACAAGAAAACTCGACAAGTCCAGCCAACGACTAAAGACCTTCACTGGAGAGCCCATTCCAGTTGTTGGTCAAGTCGATGTGAAGGTGCTCGCTCAAGATGAAGTAGTGCACCTGCCACTCCTGGTGGTGGGAGGTGAAGGCAAGCCCCTGCTAGGTCGCAATTGGCTGTCAAAGGTGCGACTGAACTGGCAGGCCATCTTCCAGGTGAAAGCCTCACTGGAAGGAAAAGCCCAAGAGCTCCTGAAAAAGTTCCCAAACCTGACGAAGCCAGAACTTGGAAAAGCAAATACTGAAGCTCATCTGGAGATAAATCCTGACATAAAACCAGTATTCTGCAAGCCCAGGTCAGTTCCACTAGCTCTGCGTCCGCTGGTAGAAGAGGAGCTCGACCGTCAGATCAAGGCGGGAATCTTGAAGCCCTGCAAGTCGGCGCAGTGGGCAGCGCCCCTGGTGACCATCCTGAAACCAGATGGCAAGTCAGTACGGCTGTGTGGGAGTTATAACCTCACGGTTAACAGAGCCAGTCATCTGGAGCAGTACCCATTACCGAAAGTGGACGAGCTCTTGACCCAGCTATCTGGAGGTGAGAAGTTCTCGCTAATAGATCTGGAACAAGCCTACCTGCAGATCCCGCTGTCAGGGTTGTATACCAATCAAGTCGATTGAATTGATTGATTTGATTCAGCGCGTATTTTGAGTTGATTGGATTGAGTCGATTGACTTTTCGAGATGACTGGTTGACTGACTCGTTTGACTTTAGCGACTGGTTGACTGATTTGATTCCCGAAAATTAGAGTGACTCGTATGATTGAGTCGATTGAATGGAAAGTTGAAATGTTTTAGTTGACGAAAAATAATGATGTAATTTGAAAGTTGTCCCTTTGTATATGCTGCTATGCTGCATTGCTGTCTTATCGCTAGATATGTCTAGGGGATTGTGTCCTTCACTATATTACTCTATGTGTTGTCTAGGGATATTAACTACTGCACTGAAAACAAGATCGATGTATGTGTGTGTTTCCTCTTCTTCTAACACTATCCATTCCACCAGCACACAGACATGAACAAAAAGTAGATATATTGAAATGAGCCAAAAGATGAGGTCGAAACCAAAATGTCAAAAGGAAGCGATCGAGTCATTAAACGAGACAAGGCCGAAAATCAGTCCTGCACGAATAGCCGTTGCATTAGCACAGGCTGATATCGAAGAAGACGGAAGAGTGTCGAAAGAAGACCGAAAATCAGTCCCACTCGAGTTGCTATCGCACTCGAGTATGCCGATATTGGAGAGGCCGGAAGAGTGCCGAAAGAACAGCCTGCTGCCGCCAAGCCGAGCCAATCGGCTCCCTGGTCAGCGTCATGATGGCGGGCAGGCTGAAACACAAACAGCGCAGTGAGACCGGACAACGGCGGTCAACGGTCACCAAAAAAAAGGGCGAAAGAGATAACCGAATGATTAGCCGAAAGACAAAACAAACAGTTCAACCATATACCGAATAGTTCGGCAAGTTAAACGGACTTCCTAGAAGACGTCACGTCACCTTGTCCCCACAGCACAGCTCCAAGAGAGCTGGCTGGGGCAGACCGTCCGGTCTGAGTCATTCTTACGTAGGTACTTACTTGTGCATGTTGAGTGGAGTGTTGGAGAGTGGATGTTGTTGAGTGTGGTGTGGACTGTGTGAGTGTGTCGCTGCTGCGTCTGGCGCCCGTTTTATACCTCTCCGACAGTCGTTTGCCCTTGGTGTGTCGTCAACCCATTTTTCACGATCTAACCCTCGCCGAGTGTTTTTGGTGTGGGCGAACGGTGGAGGTCAGCGAGATAGGAGCCGAGCGAGCCGCCGCCGGTTGGGCGGCCTTGGCCTCCGGGCCGACTGACGGGGCGCTTCCCGTCGCTGGAAATAATGAGTGTCGCCGATTAGCCGCTCAGAGCAGATGGAAATGATATTTCTCACATCCCTCCCATTTTTATGGCGAACGAAGAACTGTAACCTTAGGGGGTGAACGGGTATACGTACGTAATAATAGACTTACAGTCTGACTGGGTCAAACCGAGTTTGACTTGTAGACAATGGCAAATGCGGCGTCTTAAACTGTTTTAACTGTTTTGTGCCTTTCGACAAATATGACAATAGTGCAAAATACATGATCACTTAATAGCTTGATAGATAGAGCACACAACTTTAGCTTCAGCTTTAGCATTGCACCATGGTAGTGCAAAATCATGGAAAAAGGCAATCACTGCACCTTTACATTTATATTATTCTGGGAACCACATCTCCTTGCTACTGACCTGTGGACTGTTTCTGGGATGGGAATTTCGTGGTTTACCGGAAACGATTTACAAAGGAGCATGTCGTCAGTCGTGCAATGTAAAGGGTACGCTTGTTAACGATTCCCAATACGGGCTTCGACTTTAAAAACTCACGAGTGATAACGTGATGGGTCCATCCGTCTGCTTTATGGCCGCCACACCTGGAGGAGATAAGTTACAACCGACGGGCAAGTGATCGTTTGCCTCCGTTAGAACAGAAGGATGCGTTTCCGACTTCTGGCAGCACTCAGCATCGAGATGTTGGTCCTAAGGGCTCGGGTGAGGTGTTGAGGCTGAAGTCAATCTGACATGCCGAGAGATTGGTGGTGCTTGTAGACCTTTTGGTATCTCAGATACCTGTGTAGGACGCACTCTGCTGCTGGCTCCAATGACCTGAGGACACTGGGAGGGACCAGACGATGCGAGCATCGCAGCCCACGAGCAGTTTGTCCTATTGTCTATGCCGGTTCTATGCCCGCGCATCTTTTGGTCTGCACAGATCCATGTGGCTGGATCTAGTTTCAAGGCAATGCACAAGATTGTTGCTTCACCACAACTTATACCTCGAGCACCAACTGACCCTTATCACGACCTTCATGCATACGCTGAAGCAGATTGTAGCAAACTCGTCTGCTTGACTTTAACAAGTGAGCACATGCCCGTTGGCTTTGATCTTTTGATCTCAAGGGTTGTTCTTACTTTTGTTCGTGACCCGACATCACCGTCGCTGGTCACTCACGAGACGGTGGCGCTCCATGCAGGGTTGGATAAATCCATCAGGACCTCCACTCGGCAGCGCGGTGTCTGTTGCAGACAATACAACGAAAGTCAACCACAGTAACTGGTACACCTTCCATTCAATATGACGTTGACTCTTCGTTCAGCTTTGGGATTGCCAAATGATTCACATGAGTGCTGAACGAGTTCACATAGGATTGCAGGTTCTAACTGCATAGGCTTTCGGGTTCATATTTAAATCGTTCCACAGGAAAAGGTGTGGTCAGTTTGCACAGTTGATGCTACTCCAGAATCTTGCTATAAAAACATTAACCTAAGTCTTACTCGAAAGTCGAGACAACGAAATCAAGCAAATATTTCGTTAATGTTGCATTGTCCCTTACCGTTGCGGTTCTGCTCGGTTTAGCTTTACTGGAAAGATCTTCCCTCGGGACGTCTCGTGCCTCGTTCCTGCGCTGAAATCGAACCCTTTCGGCTTCAGTCAGCTCACATGGTAACTGCTGACGGCCGAATTACTATTTTTCTTTGCCTTGTTATCTCAACTGCAAGACCCACGCAGTAAGCAGGACATGAAGCATTTATGTCTATCTTCCTACTCTGGAGATGAGCCACGGGATGGACTCCTGAAGAGTTTTGCACTTGCTATGACTTGCAAAGTGCAGCTAAGCAAGGATTCGAGTCGTACTACCTCCTGCCATGGAATGGAGATAAAACGAGACGAAAACCACTTTCCGTCTTAAACACTATCTTTCCCTCTGCAGTCACCTGAAGTCTACTCACATTTCAACTGTTTGTCGGGTTTGCTGTTTTTGCAACATCTGTGCAACGAAGCACAGCAAACAAGTCACCTTTCTTATCGACGCTGCGGTCATCTTCTGAAACAAGTTAACGTCGATCGGTTTCGCTGCTTCTGCAACACCTGTGCAAACGAAGCAAAGCAACCGAGTCATCTTCCTAAGACACCTGTCTTATCGACACTGGTCAATTATCCGACACTGGTCAATTCCTGAAGTACAATTCCTAAAGTAATTATGGTGTTGGTCGGGTTTGCTGCTTCTGCAACACCTGTGCAATGAAACAAGCAACCAATTAATCATCTAACCATCTAACCTTGAATGTGAATCACACCTTTCCGATCGACTGCTGCGACTACCTTCCAAAGTCATTAAGCTGTAAGTCGGGTTGCTGCTCCAGCAACTCCTGAGCAGTGCCAAACAAGTCAACCGAGTCATCCTATCTCGGATATAAAACAACCCGCCTTCCTTCTCGATGCTGCGGTCACCTCCTGAAGCAAGTAAATTGTTGCTCGGGTTTGCTGCTGGCCTCATCTTTCCTGTAGTCGCCGGAGTGCTCGACTCTCATACTCCGGTAGCAGTGCAATTGCGGTGGGGTTTGCCGCCTTACACGCTCCATTGGTTCCGTTATCCACATGCCACCTCATTAGCATGGATTGTTGTGTCGCATGTGCCAGTGACCTGCTGCTCCCGTCACTGCACGCCCAGCCCTTATGCCTAGAGCGTAAGCTGACCGAGAATTCCACCCATACCCGGCCGGTGTATGTTCGGTGGGCATGGACCCCCAGAGGACCACCCTCTGCCATGCTACTCACTCTGGTAGATAGGTGGGGCAGGCCCTATCACCAGTTCTCCTCAGCTCCTACGCGTCCGGGCAGCGACTGCCGTCCTGCTCCGCGCGAGCAGACGGTCCGGTGACGTCCTCCTCCAAGAGACGTCTGTAGGCTGCACGTCCTACCTAGCACTCGCCCTTCTCTCAGGGACGTAGGCAGACGGCACGACCTACTCAATAAACGAAAACCACATTTCTGGCCCAGCACATCACCCGCCAAATAACAAATGCGTTTACCATTCTGTCAAATACTTCCCAACTGGACGGGAGTATCACCAATGTTGACTGGGATTATCTTCACAAATCACAACCCTCAACTGACTGATGAGATGACTGTCTGTTTGAACCGAAGCAAAGTTAAAAGTATATTGCCATCCAATGTTAACCAATAATGACTAATTAATACGAAATTTACCTATCAACTAGGGCAAAGTGTCTAGCACAGAGAGAATTACTTCACCTGAATTCGACTTGCCGGAAACCTGCCACATGCTCTGAAATGTTGAAATTCCTGTGTAAGAACTGAATAGATGTAAACGACGTTGTACTCTCACAAATAAATGACATCTCAATCTGTGAAACATTGAACCGATCTTGTTCCACTTGAACCTTGTCAACAACTCAGCCATAATGCAACTCTACCAGTGACCGACCAGTTGAAAAAACCCTAAAGAATAACTAATCATGTCAGCGAGGCATCAATCCACTTCAGCCACAATGACACTTCGGACTGTGTCAGGGCCATGTAAGGTTATGTCAACGGACCTCTGAACTCCGGAAACCTTGATCATGGGATGCTTCCGCGATCTTGAAAACACTGATCGAATCGCATCTCCGGTTTGGCGATCAGATGATCGAACTCGCGTTGTTTTTATCTGTGGATAGTTATTGCCCCGAACCAGCTAGCTGACCACTGCGCTGCCATGCACCTGGTCACTGCAGACATCCTATGGCAACTACCCCAAAGTTCAATGACACCAAGTCGGTATCATCAGAACGTCTCATGACAACGAAGTCAGTGTTAGCTCCCTAAAGCCAAGTCAGTAACATCTGAGCATTAAAGGTCAAGACAAATCTCAATAACACCAAGTCGATGTTATCAGAGCAAACCAGCGGACCAGCTCAACAACACCAAGTCGGCATTATATGAGCGCCTTACGGGCAACTTCTTAATAAAGTTCAATTATACCAAGTAAGTATCATCCGAACACATATTCAAGTCAAAGGAATCGAATGGATGTAATCCATAGAGCATATCTGGACATTCATTTATACCATGAGTTAAATAGCCATTTGCTGTCATGCCAACGATGCGAACGAATTGATTTGCGAGGTATACGACCGAGTAGCGTATCGCCAGAAGGCAAAGTAAGTAGACCCACAGAAGTAAGCAAGACTAACCTGAATCAAATGAACTTCAAGAGATGGCGACCTCGACGGTGCGTCCGATGTAGGTTGCCCATGCAGCATGCGGACCAACAATTGGCCTGGCGAACCTAGTAGAGTCTGGAACTCGAGCCATTCGCCATCAAATAAAGGTAACTGGAAATGGAAATACACAAATTTGACCAGTCAATTCATGTTTCACGAACACGGTGAAACGGAAAGTTTACGAATCACGAGCAGCAAGCTACACCAACGAAGATCCACGAATCATTCTGGAACAACAAAGAACCTGAAAACTTTACAAGCAAGAATATGCAATGAATCAACGGCATATACAATCAGGGTCCTGTTCGAGCAGAACAGAGTTTGATATCCCGGACGAGCCCCCAATGTAATTTGAAAGTTGTCCCTTTGTATATGCTGCTATGCTGCATTGCTGTCTTATCGCTAGATATGTCTAGGGGATTGTGTCCTTCACTATATTACTCTATGTGTTGTCTAGGGATATTAACTACTGCACTGAAAACAAGATCGATGTATGTGTGTGTTTCCTCTTCTTCTAACACTATCCATTCCACCAGCACACAGACATGAACAAAAAGTAGATATATTGAAATGAGCCAAAAGATGAGGTCGAAACCAAAATGTCAAAAGGAAGCGATCGAGTCATTAAACGAGACAAGGCCGAAAATCAGTCCTGCACGAATAGCCGTTGCATTAGCACAGGCTGATATCGAAGAAGACGGAAGAGTGTCGAAAGAAGACCGAAAATCAGTCCCACTCGAGTTGCTATCGCACTCGAGTATGCCGATATTGGAGAGGCCGGAAGAGTGCCGAAAGAACAGCCTGCTGCCGCCAAGCCGAGCCAATCGGCTCCCTGGTCAGCGTCATGATGGCGGGCAGGCTGAAACACAAACAGCGCAGTGAGACCGGACAACGGCGGTCAACGGTCACCAAAAAAAAAGGGCGAAAGAGATAACCGAATGATTAGCCGAAAGACAAAACAAACAGTTCAACCATATACCGAATAGTTCGGCAAGTTAAACGGACTTCCTAGAAGACGTCACGTCACCTTGTCCCCACAGCACAGCTCCAAGAGAGCTGGCTGGGGCAGACCGTCCGGTCTGAGTCATTCTTACGTAGGTACTTACTTGTGCATGTTGAGTGGAGTGTTGGAGAGTGGATGTTGTTGAGTGTGGTGTGGACTGTGTGAGTGTGTCGCTGCTGCGTCTGGCGCCCGTTTTATACCTCTCCGACAGTCGTTTGCCCTTGGTGTGTCGTCAACCCATTTTTCACGATCTAACCCTCGCCGAGTGTTTTTGGTGTGGGCGAACGGTGGAGGTCAGCGAGATAGGAGCCGAGCGAGCCGCCGCCGGTTGGGCGGCCTTGGCCTCCGGGCCGACTGACGGGGCGCTTCCCGTCGCTGGAAATAATGAGTGTCGCCGATTAGCCGCTCAGAGCAGATGGAAATGATATTTCTCACAATGACACCAATTGATGACATCAAAGATCACAAAACTACACTGAAAACTGCTTGTCATCACAACTGCAATATGGAGTAGATGGCCAAATAAAGAACAGGGCCTAAACATGAACAGCCAACTTTGACTTTCAACTGCAATAACTGCTCCAATCCTGTGAT